AGAACAAGATTATGCAGTGTTTTTACATTTCTAATAGCAATTCAGTTTCTTGTTAAACAGGGTTCACTTTGCTTTCAACTTTCTTTGATGAGACGAGGTGTTGAATGGATAGGGATTAAGCAACACAAGAATAGATCGAAGACGGCTGACAAGTATGAAGTTCAGATGAACAGGGTTGTTGCAACTATAGATTTCTGAAAAGGATGGGAGCTTAAGCCGAATTGTCTCTGGTTGCGAGAACGGAATTTCTAATAATACATGTGCACATTTGACCCAAAAGGTTGTCACAATGGAATTTCAGAGTACAACTTCAGTGTGGAGTTTGATACTATCAAGTTCAGCGGTAGTGGAGTGAAGATTTTAGAATTTGTAGCCTATTCTTGAAAACAAGTTCAAGTTGGGACCGTGAGAAAATGTTAAGAAATAAATAAAAAACTGGCCTATATTAGGGAATTAAAAAGCACATACTTAGTGGAGCATTGGATGTTACCACAGATTGGTACAGGTGAATAATTAGATGAATGCAAAATAGATTTAACTGATTTAATTGAAAAAGAAATATTATGCCACAAAGTGCTGACTGCTTTCTGGAAAACCATGTTTGTTCAAATATTTCAGGCACCCTCGTTAGCTTCATTTTTTTCGTTTTCAACACATTCTTGTCATGTTAACATATTCATTATAACATCTAATTTGAATCTGTAATTCCGCTTTATGCGGAGAAGTAATCAAATTTAAGAAATTCGTTTCTGGAAATCATTTTTTTTTTTTGCCCTTTTAAATAAACAAACAAGTATAGTTAAGTAAAATGAAGCGTTTATTTGGACAGCGGGAAACCAAACATTTGGTCTAAATGCAAAGTTTAGATTACATTTTTATTCTTCTTATTTATTCTCTTTCCTCAATCTTTTATTTTCTTCCTCGATAAAGTTTTGAAAAAGACTAGGCTCAGAAAGAAACACATTCTGCATTGACCTTATCGACTCTCCGACAGAAGCTGAAAGTGAAAAATTACACAGAAAGCAAGCGGTGGAATGCGGGTTGTCCGGAAAGGTCAATCCTAGTCTATACAGTTTGCATAAATTTCAGTCAATTTCAGTTAACTTATTGCTATGTTTCCCAATACTGGCTTCTTTTAATGACTTACTGGCTTCGCTATAGTACAGAACAAAGCCTTATGATTTTTGTAAAAAAAAATTTTATTTTACTATTTAATTGATTCTCGAGTCCCAATAATGTGGATGCCAAGTAATTTGGTATCATTATTTTAATGACATTTTAAAGCCATTATTTTTATCCTTAGACTTGACAACTGAACCTCTGCAAATGAACAAATGATGAATGGTAAACTGTTGACAGTACTGCATTAAAATTTTGCAGAAAAAGCAGAAAGTGTCTAAAAAGTAAATGTTAATGGATCAATTACCGTAGTTAGTTCAGTTTGACATTAACAGAGAGCCAAAAGTAAAGTGCTTGTCAAATGTTTTTGTCTTAGGATTTACGGATAATGTAGTGTTCTCGTTTTTATAACAAAAGAACCTTCTAATGCAAAAAATTTTAGAAGTACTGGTAAACAAAGCCATTTTTATGGTAGTTAAGATGTTACATTGAAATGGAAATAAAATTACTTTTATTTTGAACTTTAATACATCATATCTATTTTTGCCAGCTAGGTCTTTGCCGACAATTTATTTGTCTTTTCACATTGTTTTCTGACCATATCATCGTGCCGGATTTTTATTTCCTCTTAGCTTTTTCGAAAACAAGTACTACGCACCATCTACGGTTTTTTCATATTTCTTTGTATGTCTCTGTTTTTAGCCTACATGAAACTGGTCTTCTAATATGGATCAGTATTGTCAGAGGAAGATGAAAGTATATATTAATTGACATTAATTTTTTTGTATTAGAATTGCTGTCTGCAGCAATGTAATTTCATTAGTTGGGATGTTCATTGAATAGTACTTATGAAAAAAACTGTTTTTCTGTTTCTAGGCAAAAAAAGAATACACCAAAAAAAAGTTTCTTTATTTTTTTTTTCTGATTCAAGTAATTGACTCTAATTATACTTAAAATATCTTAAACCTACAGTCAACTTAGAAAAAAACAGTGTTTTTAATAGACTGCTATTGACGGTTCTTATCAATTTTTTTTAGCCTGTGACACTGATGTTTGTCATCAAATAATTTCCTATTGATACGGAAAACAGCACTTCAGCGACGCTTTTGAGACGTTATTTTTGCTTTGTCTTCATAACGTATCTTTTCGTTCACTGCTACGTTTTAGCTACAAATTTATGGACTTTTGTAAAGGAAAAGCCTCTATTTCAAAAATGCTTCCGTAAAAACGTCTGAAGATGCATTGTTTTTACACCTGTTTTTTTTGCAACAAAAATTTTTACATCATTTCTGTAATTTGTAAAGAAAACTCAAACATCAGAAAGCTTTAGAAATTGTTAAAATGTGTCTGTTAAACTGACTATAAAAACATTTTATATTGTAAAGGAATTTTTTAAAAAGTTGTAAAGAAACTTTTGATATATTTAGCAGTAAAGTAGACGTTTTGGCG